TTCACAGAAATTATAAAGTTGTCCTGTTTTGCGAAGTGATTACTGATTGCATGATGAGCCACCACTGCCTTGGCAATGGTATTATTCACTGAGGTTAAATCATGCCTGTTTTGACTAGTAGAGGACTAACAAGTTTAACCAACTTCCGAAGGACACATTTGACTAAATAACTCATACATTTATTTTTATATTTTCATATTTCATTTGACAATTATTGCAAATTTATATGTGTAAATTAAGGATTTAGATGAAAACAAATAATATAGATTAATTACAACTACAGATTGTTGAGATGAATATGGTCTGTAGACATCGAAATTTTAGCGGATCAAGCCCATACATAATTTGGGCTAAATCCTAAATTCAAGACACTAAAAGACGACTCTTGAAATTTTAGGAGTCTATTAAGGTTACTTGGAGGCTACTCTACTAAAACCCTAACTTGGTGGATACTCTACCCTAACCCTAGGCCACTCCTATAAAAAGGGTTACATATTTTCTTAGAAAAGAATCTCTCAAAAATGGAGATCATCTCAGAAATTTCATAAACTCTCGGAATATGCACAAAACATCAAATACACAATCTCTAAAATTCCATAAAACTCTTGGAATATTCATTAAGAGATCAAAACATGTCAAATATATCTTGCTCAAAGTTCTAGCAACATTCAAGATCCAAATGGAGTGTTGCTACATGCTTCTTGATCATCAAATATATCAATGAGATGCATATCATCCTACATTTGAGAAATACGCTGCTAAGGCCCTCGAATTACGGATAACAAATCGGAGGAAAGAATCCAGGGATAAACAGAGTTATAACCCTCAATGTTTATCAATAAAATTATTTTTTCTTTATAGTTGTTTGTGATTGTAGTTTTATCTTTCTGCACAAATTTGTTGCAAACAAATTGGCACACCCAATAGGACCAGTTCTGCCCTTCATATCTTCCTCCCACAAATCGAAAACTACAAGTTTCAAAATCATATGTTGTGATGGTCGAGTACTTCAAGTCTCGTCTTCGAGTTTTGGCAAACCTACACCCCGACAAACCTTGAAGTAGGGGGCATTTGTAGACATAAAAATTTTAGCGGATCAAGCTTATACAAAATCTGGACTAAATCCTAAATTCAAGACACTAAAAGACGACTCTTGAAATTTTAGGAGTCTATTAGGGTTGCTTGGTACTCTACCAAAACTCTAACTTGGTGGCTACTCTACTATAACCCTAGGCCACTCCTATAAAAAGGGTTACATATTCCCTTAGAAAAATATCTCTCGAAAATGGAGATCATTTCAGCAATTTCATAAACTCTCGGAATATGCACAAAGAGATCAAATACACAATCTCCGAAATTTCATAGAACTCTTGGAATATTCATTAAGATATTAAAGACATGTCAAATATGTCTTGCTCAAAGTTCTAGCAACATTCAAGATCCAAATGGAGTGGTGCTACATGATTCTTGATCATCCAATACATCAAGGAGATGTATATCATCCTACGTTTGAGAAATACTCCGCTAAGGCCCTCGAATTACGGATAACAAATTGGAGAAAAGAATCAAGGGATAAACAGAGTTGTAACCCGCAATGTTTATCAATAAAATTATTTTTTTTTATATTTATTTGTGATTGCAGTTTTATCTTTCTGCACAAATTTGTTGCACAAATTAGTTCCATTGCTGGGATCTCCTTTTATCTTTCTGCACAAATTAGTTGCAAGCAATTTGGCACGCCCAGAGGGACCAGTTCTGTCTTTTATCTCTTCCTCCTGCAAATCGAAAACTACAAGTTTCAAGATTATTTATTGTGATGGTCGAGTATTTCAAGTCTCGTCTTTGAGTTTTGGCAAACTTACACCCCTACAAACCTTGAAATATGGGGCATTTGTAGAAATCAAAATTTTAGCGGATCAAGCCTATACAAAATTTGGGCTAAATCCTAAATTTAAAACACTAAAAGACGGCTCTTGAAATTCTAGGAGTCTACTAGTGTTGCTTGGAGGCTACTCTACCAAAACCCTAACTTGGTGGCTACTCTACCCTAACCCTAAGCTACTCATATAAAAAGGGTTACATATTCCCTTAGAAAAGGATCTCTCGAAAATGGAGATCATCTCAGCAATTCCATAAACTCTCGAAATATGCACAAAGAGATCAAATACACAATCTCCGAAATTCCATAAAACTCTTGGAATATTTATTAAAAGATCAAAACATGTCGAATATGTCTTGCTCAAAGTTCTAGCAGCATTCAAGATCCAAATGGAGTGTTGTTACATGCTTCTTGATCATCAAATACATCAAGAGATGCATATCATCCTATGTTTGAGAAATACGCTGCTAAATCCCTCGAATTATGGATAATAGATCAGAGGGAAGAATCAAGAGATAAATAGAGTTGTAACCCGTAATGTTTATCAATAAAATCATTTTTTCTTTATAGTTATTTGTGATTGCGATTTTATCTTTCTGCACATTTGGTTCTGTTGTCGGGATCTCCATTTATCTTTCTGCACAAATTTGTTACACCAAATTGGCACGCCCAGTGGAACCAGTTCTGCCCTTCATCTCTTTCTCCCGCAAATTAAAAACTACAAGTGTCAAAATCATCTGTTGTGATGGTCGAGTACTTCAAGTCTCGTCTTCGAGTTTTGGCACATGTACACCCCGACAAACCTTGAAGTAGGGGCATTTGTAGACATTAAAATTTTAGCGGATCAAGCCCATACCAAATTTGGGCTAAATCCTAAATGCAAGACACTAAAAGATGACTCTTGAAATTAGAGTCTATTAGGGTTGCTTGAAGGCTACTCTATCAAAACCCTAACTTGGTGGCTACTCTACCTTAACCCTAGGTCACTCATATTCCATTAGAAAAGGATCTCTAAAAAATGGAGATCATCTCAGCAATTCCATAAATTCTCGGAATATGCACAAAGAGATCAAATACACAATCTTCGAAATTCCATAAAACTCTTGGAATATTCATTAAAAGATCAAAACATGTCGAATATGTCTTGCTCAAAGTTCTAGCAGCATTCAAGATCCAAATGGAGTGCTGCTACATGCTTCTTGATCATCAAATACATCAAGAGATGCATATTATCCTACATTTGAGAAATACGCCGCTAAGGCCCTCGAATTACGATTAACAAATCGGAGGGAAGAATCAAGGGATAAACAGAGTTATAACTCGCAATGTTTATCCATAAAATCCTTTTTTCTTTTATAGTTGTTTGTGATTGTAGTTTTATCTTTCTGCACAAATTTGTTACAAACATGGTCATTTCATCTTTAATCAGAAGTATTGGATTTGAATTATGAGAAAGAAAAAAAAAACTAGATAAAATTCCCCGACAACCATTTTTTAGTCCATATAATGGAAAATAGTCACTGTCACGAAGTATCTGAAATTTCACTTGTGAAAATTAAAACTCAATGACAATGGCTGTTTCTCAATTTAAAAGTTAAAAGGTGGCCAGCCGCACTATTACTACGAAAAATTCTTAGTAGGTAAAGCGCCCTCTTAGTAAGCCTTATGTCGTGCACATCCAAATTTATTGGGTCCATGCAAATAATGAACACCTAATAACTAGGGGCATATTTAGGTTAAGGGATATGTGCTCACGTGAACTTATGCTCCTCTCCATAAATCATGTATAACTATATTATGTATCTTCAAAATACTTAAATATATGTGCATGCACTTAATTTTAAAGACTCATGTAGTGCAATAATTATTGGGTGCACATCTACAAGTAAAATTGGTGATTTAAATCACATTCCGAACGGTCTTATTTTTAATACGGAGTATAGATATATACGTGGGAATTCAAAAATAATAAATTTTGAATCTTTATTTTTAGAAGTATAATGGGTTTATGGTAAAAGTTTAAAGTTAAACCTGTCAAATGTAGAACTAGATTTACCTCTTCACAATAATGCACTCATTCTCTTGAAATCCTGAATCCGCATTTGCGAGTCACAAACTAAAATAAATGATTACTAGAATATGTTAAACAAATACTTTACTAATAATTAAAATTACTAAAAATCCTTTTTCAGATGTGTATAAAAATTTTCAACAACAAAAATAATATAGACCATGTAATAGTAGCTCTTTTTAAAAGGATAGAAGATGCTTGGCAACGCCAATCCATAAATTTTTGTCATGACGCAAACTACCACAAGCCTTTTCCTCTACTTTTTGAAGGAATCTCTGTTTCTTTCTCATTCATACATCCCAATTGCTAGATGACAAAAAGAGTTCCTTGTGACCCAACCAACTGCAATTGCCACTAAAATAACTTCTTGGGCTGTTGGCCACGTCATTTTTCTTACTCAAAATTAGGCAAATATCGGTAAGCCTTGATGGCTGATTTCATGCCTTAGTTTCTCTCCATTTTCCTTATCCCACAATCACCACACTACAATATTCCACGTAACAATGAAACCCCTCCACCCTTCTCCTACCCAACCCAGAAAAAGGGAATAATAATAGAAAGACACAAAAATATCTTGAGAATGTCATAAGTTCTAAAGTTTACTAGCAAAATAGTTAAGTGCAAGTTTACCAAAAGATTTCCTCGTATGAAGGAGAGGAAGAACCCGCTCTAAAAAATATTAGTCACAATTCGAACTAAATTTAGTCTGCCGTGTATTATTTTTCCTTGATTTGCATTAGTACAAAAGTTTATGAGTGATATTTATTTTCTTAAGTTTTTTGCTTAACATCATTGGCAAATTAATCAATTGACGCGTTTCCTGGTCGTAGGCAAGTTCTTCCTTCAAAAGTTCTTTAGAACATATTCATATTTTTATAAGAAAGTTCTCCCAAAATCACTCGCATCAAAGGGGGAATTATGCCAATTATTTTTGAATATGAACATACAAGAAGAAGAAAAAGAAGAAGCAACATCACTGAGTGAAGTGGAAATAAATTTCCATTAAGAAAGAATATGAATCACAGTTACAGTTGCTTTTTCTCACTTGAATTAGTAATCAATAAAAGCTTAAAACTTGCTATTTCTCCCTAATCGCCAAATACAAAGTCTGATCTCTTTAAAATACGTACTACAGCCCTTCAGACCATTCTGATAACACCTGCTTCTTCTCTCTTGAATGAAGAGCTCAAATGCCCAAAAGGGTCATACAAAATAAGGCATAAAATTCCTTTCTTCTACAATTGTTTAGTGTAATTGAAATAGAAAATCTCTGGTAAAAAGTGGGAAGGCAAACGGGTTACGGTCTGTGATTCGTCTTGTACAATTTCCTATTCGTTTCTATATATGCAACTCTTGTCGATAGTGGCGAATCTACATTAAACACAACAGGTTCGACAGAAACGACTGCGTCTAACTTGGAGTATATGTGTATGAGAAAAAATAATCTGCATTTAGTTCTAACTCTAAATCCTGAATTTCCCACTGTTTGTAGAATTTCTATCTGGAAAGTGAGCAAGGATTCACAGGTGACGGGTATGCAATGGATCTTTTGAGGAATTGTTTTTGCTTGTCATCAGCAAAACAAAGCACAGAATCAATACATATCTCAAGAGCAGAGGGGGGTTGAACAGGAACAAAATCCTGTAGCTTTGCATACTCTGAAATTAGGTGATACATATAATCATATATCCGATCAATACTTAAACTCTCCATAAAGTCTTGTCCTGCTTTTCCAATGGCTTCAGCCTATTCAGCCAAAAAAGAATAACGGAAAAAAGTATAAAGACATTGGTAAATAAAAGAGACAAACGAAAATCCCAACCAATTTAAGAGAGATTCTTAAATCAAACATGGACTAGTGTAAAGCTTGCGACAAATTGCAAGCAGAAAGACTAAAGAAGATATCAAGAAACCTAAAAGACTTCCTCTCGACAAAGAACTGAACTTAGCAGCTATCCAAGAACTGTTGAATGTAGGTCACTAGTCATCCTATTAAAGAAATTGATTTGTTATTAACTTATTTCTATGCATAATAATCAGAGACGTATCCAATCGTGGGCTCGGTACAACTCAGTGTTTTAGGGTTAAATCCTATATATGAGTGTGCAAAATACAAATACAAATAGATTTAGATATACATTTCAGAACACATAACGTCACTACCATAATCTTGGGGCAAAAACATACCTCCGATGGATTTGCATTACCCCAATCAACCGCAGCCTTTATTGATGGGCATAAATCAAAAGGAGGAATTGGCCAGTAATTTTTCTTTGGAATCAGACCACGACTAAAGAAATCCTGATACTGTGGGCTGATTATCAGGGGAAGAGAACCACATGCTAGAATATACTTCAAGCTCACTGACCATGCATATCCTTCTGCATAAATCTTGTATCTGCATTATTAACAATATAATTGAATATAAGGAATGCAATTTTCTCTGTTGAATTCGAGATTTAAAGTCAATGACTTTTACTCTTCACTATACGTGCCAAATTTTACCCCCCTCTCACACACACACGACGACATATATATATATATATATATATATCCGAGTTCAATGGAATAGGTCGACCAGCTACCAAAGTAGAGATAGAATAAAGGCATTAATGAACTATTGCCACATGGAATTTCATAGAACAATATGACAAGCAAATTATAAAGATTGATCCTAGAAAGTCTCAACATCAAGCAAGAAATCTTTGGTGCCTCAAATTAAAATACCGAGTAGTCAGGATCCAAAACTCGAATTCGCAAATGACAACCCAAGAATGTTGCAAGCTCACCTATGATTACATTGCTTTGATAGCTTGGACTTCTCAAATCCAACCTTTGCTTCTTCTGCCCAATCCTATATCCATATCATAATGTACAATTTGTAGTTAAGAAAACAAAGGGATTCAAAAGAAAAAATGAAACATAAATAGAAAACAAGTACTATTAGTTATAATGAAACTATTAAGAAAGTTCACATTAAAATGTCTAGTCATGAACCTGCCGCATAATTTGTGCTCTCCACATTTGAGTGTCATTGCAATTGAGCAACTCTGTGCGAATCGGAGAAACAACATCTGGATTTCCTTTCCAGTATGCTACCGGGATCTTCCTTACCCAACTTCGAGATTTTGAACCCTTTTTGATGCTTTTAAATTCTTCTTCCCATGGTCTTATGTTTATTTCAGACCTGAAAAATAATCACCCAACATATAAATTGAAACCGAGGGAATATAATTTGTGGCATGAGAAAGAAACACAATTTCCCACTGTTTCCAGATTAGTTCACTAATAATTCAGCATGTGTTAGAGGTTTAAGTTAATAACATAAAGGGTGCACACTACAACTCTAATATTTCAGCATGTGTTAGCCAATATTTTATTTTGGGAACCTTCATATGAGTCTTTTTTTTTATTAATAATCCAATATAAAGGTTCTAAATTAGCTCGTGAATATGATGGATAAATACCAATAACTTGAAGACGCAACCTGCTATATCAGCAGCAGTTCAACCAAGACAAATCATTTTATAATAATCCATTTCTAATAATGTTAGAAAAACATTAACCTAAAGTAAGCAAAGCCACACAATTCCTCTGAGCACTTTGTATGTACTAAGTAACTTAAGTTATGGTTGTGGCGGACATAGTATGGATTCTGCAGTTTCGACATAATTCACTGCTTTTGGTTCAATCTTATGTGTGCACGCAAAAAATAAGTGTAGATAAAATTAGATATTATGTATTTCAAAATTTTCATTTTCAGCTCAAAATTCGTGGTGTCTAAATTATGAATCTGCCACTGCATTATAGACTTATCATATTTTGGGTGAAAATAGATGTGCAATGAAATGATATGATCCTACATGCTCCAAATGTAGTTCGCATCAGAATAAAAGAAGCTTCAAATTCTTACCAGCCCCAGAAAGACCAATCTGGAAACGGTATATCAAAATGCTGCGGTGTGGTACAGTACCGAAACAACGGCAAAGGCATTGAAGAATGCTCAGTTCGATTAATAATAGGTTTGTCCATGCAATCAAACATCAAATCAACATCTGGAACCTTTCCAGGATATCTCCTAAGTAACTGTAATATTCCCCAGATCGTGAACATAGCCCTACTCTGTACACAAGCATAGTAAAAATCTACAAATAATTTGCCACCAACAATAACAACTCTAAAAGCTGCAAACTTCTGTGCCTCCATTACATGGTTCATAGAAATCCTGGACTTGGTCCATGGTTCAAGGTCATAACGTATGCTCCTGAAAAATTCTGGGCAAGTTTTCGATTCAGAGGTTTTCGATTTGGATGCAGAGTTGCTATTTTGAGGAACGGTGACACGACCCGGGCAGCTAAGATAAGAGCATCCTATGATCTTGGAAGCCTTTGAAACAGTGGATTCTTCATCGAAGGATTTTGTAGGAAATACATGCCACGGCGTTGGCTCTAAGTTGTGACCCACAATGGTTTTTGTCTGAGAAATTAAGTTGTCAACCTAAGCATAAGAAAAGAAAATACAATGACAATAATAAGAATGCCATGCCATCATAAGTTAGAAAGAACATTGATATTTATAGAACGTCTCAAAAAAGAAACTGGCCCGGACACCACACTTAACATAAACAAAAGTATATAAAGATGAAGGATGAGGACCTCGAAGAAGAGGAGAAGAGCAAGGAAGAGGAAAGCAAAGAAGATAACGTAGCGAGGAAGGAAAAATGGCCGACGACTATGTCTTGAAAGTATCCCCATTGAAGCTATTTAGCTTGTCTCAGATTGAATTGCTCAATAATATTCATGTCCATGATACTTAACTTTGAGTTAATTGTAATTAGTTGATCTTTATTTTTTTGTGCTTCTTGATCTCTGCCCTTTGCCTTTCTTTCTCACACTATAATTGTTGCATGGCTGAGGGATTGCCTCCCGTACACTACCAATGTGGAAAACCAACAGTATTTAGGGCCCCCACTAATATGAAATGTACTACATTATTATATGATATACTATATAATTTATATTTATATAATTATTAATAAAGGATTTCAAATTTTAACATTTTTTTTTAAATTTGGTAGATATAGGATTGAGTGAGTTAATTAGATATAAAAAAATTCTCATTAAATTAAATAATATTTTTACTTTCTCATCAATTCTATTTTTATTTCCGCTCTTTTTTCCCGCAATTTTACTTTCTAATTTCAACTCAGATTCTCTAAATTAGCTATTCATTTTTGTCATATTTGATTGATCCATAGATAATAAAGCAACTTCTTTTGTATCTATCTATTTAATTAAGAAATTCTCGAAGCAAGTGTCGCAAGGTTCAAAGTTCCATGAATACTAGGCTCACCCCTTTTTCATTTTCACTTAATACTATATCTTTGTATAGGGAAGAGTTCAATACCATGACGTGCTCTCGCCACTAGATCAAAACCATGTAGTCTTTTTTTTTATTTTTTATATTTCATTATTATATAAATTTTATGAAAGAAAGTTTAAGCGTCTTTTAATATATTATGGTTTTAGGTCATAGCATTGTCCCACGAATATTATATTCAACCACCTTTATTCATATTTGGTAACTGAATGACCCACTCATTACCTTTAATATTCTTTGTTATTGTAGTTTTCTCTTAATTTAAACTCTATAAAACTTGATTAAGAACCTCACAAGTGGACAGATGGCTCAAGGGGAGGCTAGTAACACCTTGCTTTAAGCCTCAAAATTTTGAGGCCCAAAAATTTTATAGTGAATTTTACAATTTGTTTTGATTTAAACAATACTAAAGTTTACATAAAGAATTTAAAAGTATAAAATTTGTGTAAAAAGAAAAGAAAGAAAGACTTCTACTCCTAAACAATAAAAAAAATTTAGAACTTTGAATTAAACTGCTTAAATCTTCATACTAGTAAATATAGTTTTGTACAATAATATCAAAGATAATATATTGTAAATACATGCCTAACATCTTAGATATTTAAATTCCCTTTACTAATATAAATAATTCTACTATGCGAAGCTAAAGACTTTATGTCATTTAAGAATATTATATCTGATTCTAACTAAAAGAAAGTATAGCCTCTTATTAAAATTTGCCTTAGGCCATTAATTTTATTGAGTCGCCCTTAGCTCGCGCTTTCTCGTTCCCGACTCACTTGAACAATAATTGTCTCGACGGTTTACATTCCCTCTAAATATTAGAAAGAGTTTAATTTTCTTTACATTCCCTCTAAATATTAGAAAGATTTTAATTTTCATGCTTTATATTATTATGTCAGCTAAAAAATAATTCTAAATATACCATTAATAAAAGTGAAATTATACTAACTGATAAGATGAAAATATTATGCATAATATAAGTTGATCCTTAAGGAGGCTCATAGCTCATGATATTCTATTCATCCCGGCATCACGAAGATGTATCGTAACTCGAAACAGCATTACCGGTGGCGGAAGGGGAAGAAAGATATTGTAGGACATGTTTAATGGTGCTTGAATTACCAACAGATCAAATATTAGCATTAGAAACCAGGTGGTTTGACTTAGAGATTAGTGATACTATGAACATTGTGGTGGGATTACTACGGACTTTGAAAACAAGTATTAGTAGTTATAATGAAACTAAGAAATTAAGAAAGTATCGCCATTGAATCTATGTAGCTTGTCTTAGATTGAATTGCTCAACTATATTCATGTCAATGATACTTAACTTTGAGTTAGCTGTAATTAATTGATCTTTAATTTTTTTGTGCTTCTTGATCTCTGCTCTTTGCCTTTCTTTCTCACATGTTGTATGGCTGAGGGACGGCCTCCCGTACACTACCAACGTGGAAAACCAACAGCTCGCGCCAAAGGCCCCCAAGTATTTAAGGCCCTACAAATATAAAGTGTACTATATTATTATATACACCCCGTTTCAATTTATGTGAACGTATTTTCTTTTTAGTCCGTACCAAAAAGGATGATATCTTTCTTTATTTGGAAACAATTTACTTTTATGCAATTATTTATAGCCACACAAAATATATGTGCCTTATTTTACACCACAAATTCAAAAGTCTTCTCTCTTTTCTTAAATTCCGTGCCCAGTCAAATGAGTTCACATAAATTGAAACGGAGGAAGTAATATATATAATTTATATTTGTATAATTATTAATAAAGGATTTCAAATATTTTTTTAAAATTTGCTAGAGGTAGGATTGAGTGAGTTAATTAGATATAAAAAAAATTCTCATTAAATTAAATAATATATTTGCTTTCTCATCAATTCAATTTTTATGTTCTCTCTTTTTTTCCGCAATTTTACTTTTTAATTTTAACTCAGATTCTCTAAATTAGCTATTTGTTTTTGTCATATTTGATTGATCCTTAGATCATAAAGCAAGTTCTTTTGTATCTATCTTTTTAACTAAGAAATTCCCGAAGCAAGTGTCGCAAGGTTAAAAGCTCCGTGAATACTGGGCTCACCCTTTTTTTATTTTTATTTAATACTATATCTTTATATAGGGAAGAGTTCAATACCATGGCGTGCTCTCACCACTAGATCAAAATCATGTAGGCTTTTTTTTATATCTCATTATTATATAAATTTTATGAAAGAAGTTTAAGCATCTTTTAATATATTATGGTTTTAGGTCACTAATTCCGTTGAGAGTAGTGCCCCACGAATATTATATTCAACCAGTTTTATTCATATTTGGTAAGTGAAGGACACATTCATTACCTATAATATTCTTCGTCATTGTTATCTTCTCTTAATTTAAATTCTATAAAATTTGATTGAGAACGTCACGAGTGGACGGGTGGCTCAAGGGGAGGCTAGTAACGCCCTGATTTAAGCCCTCAAAATTTTGAGACCCCAAAATTTTTGTAGTGAATTTTACAATTTTATTTTAATTTAAACAATACTAAAGTTTACAGAAAGAATTTAAAAGTATAAAATTTGTGTAAAAAGAAACGAAAGAAAGAATATCTATTCCTAAACATTAAAAATATTTTAGAACTTTGAATTAAATTGCTTAAATCTTCATATTAGTAAATATAGTTTTGTACAACAATATCAAATGTAATATATTATAAATACATGCCCAATATCTTAGCTATTTAAATTGCCCTTACTAATATAAATAATAATATTATGTGAAGCTAAAGGCTTTATGTCATTTAAGAATATTATATGTGCATTCTAACTAAAGAAAGTATAAGGCCTCTTATTAAAATTTGGATTTAGGCCATTGATATGTGTGGATTTTAACTACTTATTAGTATTTTCTTGATTTAGTTTTTGTTCGAAAGTAGTGATTTTTATTTCCAAATCTAACAAAATTATATGAATTGCAGACATGTTTGAGAATTGGAGCTTAACGAAGAAATCTAACTCAAAAAGGAGTATTCCAGCTCAACAAGGCAAAAAGGAGAAGTGCAAGTAGAAGTGCGGTCCGCGAAAGTAATTATGCGCCCGCAGATGATCATGTGGACCACACAAATAGAAGTGTCGCCGCAGATGAAGCCCTGAAGCCTATGAGGAGTTTTGAAGAAGCGCGGTTCGCACATCAAATTGTGCGGCTGCAAAAGCTGGTCGCATTGACAGAGTTTGACAAAGTTCAGTGAAGATGCAAAATATCAAGTGTGAAGCCTCTTGAAAATGCGGTTCGCAACCAAATTGTGCGGCCGCTGAAGCTGAAGTGCAGCGGCAGAGATAATCATGCGGCCGCAGATTTCCTTCTCATGCAAGAGCAGAAGAAGAGTACGGTCCGCGCATGAAATTGCGCAGCCACAGAACCTCCCGAAGAGTTTTTTGTCAGTGAATTTCTGGACACTATAAATAGACAGAAAATACTTGTTTTAGGGCAAGTTTTGTACTGTAGCAGCAACTAGTTATTATATTCAACTATTTTAGGATATTTGGAGGAACAATTAGAGAAGACCCATTAATTTACACTTTAATTCTAGTTTTATGTCTTTAATTACTGGTAAATATTATTCTTCTGTGTCAATAGTATGAGTAACTAGACTTTATCTAGGGTTGTGACCCAACTCTAGTATGTAAAACTTATGACTTGTTAAAACTAATGCTTGTTTATGATTGAGTTTTTATTATTTAGTCTTGTTTATGCATTATATCTAGAATTAATAGTTGCAAACATTGATTCATGCCTATTTGAATTAGTTCTTACTTGAGAAAGAGAAACCTAGTCTAGGAAAACTTGACTAACAAGAAATTGAGCTAGTTAAGGTTTTGGCTAGTTTGATTAAAGGGTTTGAACTAGAGATAGGGAGAACCTGACTTGGATTCATATCAATTGCTTAGATTGCTACCCATTTGGTCTTGAGAAAACCAATTTGAGCATAACCACTCTATGACCGAGAGGTATTGAGTGGGTACTTGAGAATTGAGAGTCATAATACACCCCGATCTACAAAACAAGTGTTAACCTAGCATACTCATTAGGTTTACACCTAGGTGGAGGTTACATTCCTAAACATTTCCTCAATTGATAAAAACACCAAAAAAATAATTTACTTTCTAATTGCTTTTACTTAGTCAAAATTCTTAGTGTCAAAATTAGTTAACAATCATCCCTCTTATCTGAAAGTACAATTTGGTTAATTCATGTTCTCTCATCAAATATTTACCTTAATATCGATTGTAAACTCCCTGAGGAATTTGACCCCGACTCAAGTTGGGTATTATAATTTCAACGATCGTTTCTCACTTAATATTGAGTGTGGATTTGGACGTGATCAATTTTTGGTGTCGTTGTCAGGTAGTTTTTACCGTGCTATATATTTGAGTTTGTTTCTTTGAATATCTTCTTTT